CCCAGAAATGGCAGGATCAGGGGCTTTGAGCAGTGTGAGAAATGCTCACCTGTCTGAATTCAAATAATAGACTTAGAGAAAGAAGTATGGTGAAAACAGGTCTTTTCATACATCCTCGAGAGCTGATGTCCGTCCAGTTGTGCAGGCACACACGGGGTAGCAAACACAGCCTTTTTATTCAGTCCCTCCTCTGGTTCCTCATTGGCTGAGTACTATGGGGTCACCTGTTTCCTCATACATTGCCTAGGTCTTATTGTCTCCCCCATTGGACCATCTAAAAAAATTGGGCTTAGGCCTTTTCTAGTTGCCTCCACTCCCCCCTGTCTAGTTGAGGCAGGTGCCTCAGGGGTTTCCACCATGATGCTGGCCCACATCCACAGTTCTTTGTTCTTATATCCTCTTCCCTCTTCCCTATGTTCTGTTTGCCCTGGGGAAATTCAGCAACCCTTTCCATCAAAAGCCAACCAGTCTGGAGATGGGTCACAGAGGCCCATTTTCTACAAGCAGCTTTTTATATTATTACCGTTTTGTTTTTTATTGTCTAAAGTTTTACATATGTCTCCTTTTTCCCTGATTGACTCCCCCCCAACCCCCACCCCCCACCCCACCCCTACCAGAGGTGGCTTGATTTCCTTGTGCTGAGTTTGTGTGTTGGTTCTCCTGAAGAGGGCAGGGCTATCTAAAAGAGTCAGGAGACCTGATTTCTAACCCACAAAATGCCCTTGGTCTCCCAGAGGCAGTGTGCACCCATGTGGGGTGGTAGGAAAGTCCACCAGTCTTTGTACTTGTACAAGCAGTAGTATTGCCAGTAGAGAATTTAAAACAATAATAAAATCAACTAAAAGTCCATCTGCTTTTTATGCTCACCATGCTTTCATGGCAAGATCAGTGATAAAATATTTCCCCCTGCCCTGCACAGTGTGGCTCAGTTGGTTGGGTGTCATTCTGAGCACTGAAAGGTTGCTGGTTCAATTCCTGGTGGGGGGTATGCAGGAGTCAGCCAATCAATGTTGCACTCTCGTGTCTCTCTCTCTCTCGCTCTCTCTCGCTCTCTCTCTCTCCTCTCCCTTCCTCTCTTTCTCAAAATCAATAAACCTCTCCCACCACTTCATTGAGCTCCCTCCATCCTCGGTCACCACTGCCTGCAGGAAGAAAGCAGGCAGTCTCAAGGGCCTTTTTTCCCCCCACAACCCCAGGCTCTCTCTGCCAGATTACCACCGAAATCATAGCTCCTCTCCACCACTCTGAACATGACACTCTGAATGCAGTAATCCATGGGCTTTGCCCATCCCTCCTGACCAAAAATGGATTTCTACTCTACCTTCAAACAATTTCCCGAGATGGAACATCTTAGTTCCTATAGCCAAAGCTGGCTTTATGGATGTGCCTGGGGTCCCACACTCAGAAAGAGGACCCCGTTGAACTCAGGGTTCAATGCTCTGTTGTTGTCATCTTGAAATTCTTAAGAACTTTATCTCTGAATATGTGTTTTGTAAGTGAAGTGCAATGGGAGAATGGGACATGTGCCTGGAGACTCCGCATATTGGCTCAAACACGGTCACACCTCCTGGAGCCACCCTGCCTCTAAATAAGTTTTGCATGATGCCCTGCACATTATGAAACTGGTTTTGCCTTCAGCCACCCTCACTTCTAGCTCTGATTCATGGCACCCAGACCTCCACCTCCATCTTGTGTGCACTGTGGTGTGGACAGCAGGGAGAGGCACAGACACGAGCAGGGACGAAGGGGCTTCTGACCTCAGAGAAGAGAGGCAGGGGTGGGCAAACTTTTTGACTCGAGGGCCACAATGAGTTCTTAAACTGGACCAGAGGGCCGGAACAAAAGCATGGATGGAGTGTTTGTGTGAACTAATATAAATTCAAAGTAAACATCATTACATAAAAGGGTACGGTCTTTTTTTTTTTTTTAATTTTATTCATTTCAAATGGCCGGATCCGGCCCGTGGGCCGTAGTTTGCCCACGGCTGGTCTAGAGAGTAAGCCATGTGATGCCATGAAGGATGCCATACCTCCCACCATTGTCATTTGGAAAACATGCTGCAGGAAATGCAAAGGAAGTGGCAATTGCTGCTGCTGGGAGCCTCTTAGAAAAGTTAGTTTTTGAACCAGGCAAGGAGGAATGGGTAAAATCTCCAAAGAGAGGTGATAAAAGTGTGCAAGGTGAGGGGAGCACATATGCACATGGGTTATAAAGCATATCCAAGTACCTTTTGAAGAGTGAATGGGGCTGAGGCATAGAATGTAAGAGCCCAATCATAATATGATGAAAAGGGAGGTTAGGCCCGAAGTGCAAAGGACCCTTCTCTCCCTTGTGTCTCCCCTCTTCTTTAAACTGTGGTTTAGGATTTCCTCTTCTATAAAACGAAGGAATTGGATTAAATGATCTTCTCTTTTTAATACCCTTTAATTCTGTATGGAGACCACCAGCCATAAAGATGCATTCCCAAGCCATTGATATCATCTTTCATTCTTCCTATCAACTCACCCTTGTATTGACCTTGTTAATCTATACATTGATGCTTATTCTACCTGGGACCTCCCCCCACTAACCATACTTGATCGATTTCCTTATGAGCAGATATTCTGTGTATTCTGTGTTTATAGTGGCTGGGTTTGAGGGAATTTAATAAAATTTTTGATAAACATTTAGTCTCAAATTATGTTATTGAAGCTTTATTCTGTTTGGGAGTGGGGAGGTGGGAGAAGGGGGTATAATTCTAGTGCAGGGTGGGGAATGTCTGGCCCTTGGGCTGTATAAGGCCTGCAAAATCATTTGGTCTGACCCTGCCAAGGCAGTAGGGGTCAGTTAATTAAATGTTTGACCAAATATAGCAGGCTAATTTTTAAGTTGATAATTTTGTATGGCTCAAGAATGATGTTATAAATATCCAAATGACCCTTGGCAGAAAAAAGGTTCCCCACCCCTGTTCTAGTGGTATGTAGGATATACTTGTATTTTTCAAGTTTCATTTTGTTGGTCCTGCAAGATTGAAAGAAATGTCACTTAGATGCAGAGTGAGAGGGAGATGAGTTGTCCTGTGGGAACCATTTTCCTGGGATAATACAATTCCTAGGGCCAATTCTAGGGTTGGGCAGCAAAGCTAGAATCCTTTGCTCATGCTTTAACCTTGAGGGAGTCAGTTGTCCACAAAGTGGTTCCCATGGAAAAAAGATGGTCTCCTTATCAGAGAGAGGCGGAAATTGGAACAAAGTGCCTGCAACATTGCTTGCTGGCCTTTGGGGACAAGACAACAGTTCTTCAGAAAATATGGGAAAAGAGGCTGTGTCTGTAAGTCCTGGGAACAAGTTAGTGTGGACAGGCTCAGTCATGGGTACTGGGTAAGCAGGGTGGCTTTTCTGTTTCTCATGCCACCTTTGTTTATTTCTCTTCTGTTTCTCCTGGATTTAGTAAAGTCTTTCTGAAAGTGCCAAAGGTGAACCAAAGGGAAGGGTTTTATTTTCCATGCTTAGACATAGCTTTAAAGAGGAAGCAGTATACCCCTGGGGGCCAGCGAGGTGATAGCAATGGTGATTAAAGAATGGATACCTCCCGGCGGGTGGTGTGAATCACAGAGTATTAACCGTGGGATTACTCCTGCAGCCACCCAGAGAGTCTCTTCCAGGGCCAAGCTTTTGAGAATCAAGGCTTTGCTCTAGTGAGGGAGAGACCAGCAAGGACGGTATCTTGAGATTAGCCCACTAATTCCACATGGACTCAGTGGAAACCTCATGTTGAGGTTCTGCTATGGCAACAGAATGAGTGTGTTGATGGGTTAAAAATGCCATTTAAACAAGGACATAACAGAATTAGAAATCTAATCACTGAGACTTTTTGTAATGAAAACTTTAGTAAACTAAACAAGAACAATTAATCAGCAAGGAAACTTGTAATTCAGGGCAAGTCTGGTTCGTTAATTTCAGCTGGTTGTTGCTGCCTCTCCAGCTTCTGCTGCCGTCTCGTGAATGAAGACAGTCTCTGCGGAGCAGTTGGGTGTCCTGGGGAAGCATGTTCACTGGAGAGCTTGACAGAGCACCCTGAAACTCAGGCCCTCTCATAGAGTAGATAGTGGCCCCACATGGTCCTTTACAAGGGGAGAACAGCTCTACCAGGCGTGGCCCAGTCAGGGCTGAGCCCTTCTCTGATGTCACCATACAGAAACAACCACCCCAACCGTAGCAGCAGGATATTCCTTTGAAAGACTCCAAGGGCTGCATTTGGGTATGTGTGTGTGGGGGGGGGGGGGGGGGGGGGGGGGGGGGGTGGGCAGTAGAGCTCTGTCTGGAGACATTTGCAAGGCTACTGTTGCCAATAAAAGGCTATAAATATGCATTTATAATTTTCAGGTTCAACTTCTTCATGATTTGCCAAGGTGGAGTGGGCTATGGTCTTTCCAGGCTCAGGGGATGTCTAAAGAAGTGTCAGGACATCGTCCACACCCAACAGAAGGCTGCAGATAGAGCAGACATCAGATGCAAGTGCAGTGGGGACTGTGTGAATAGCAAAGAGAAGAGACAGAAGGGCTGGCACGCAGTCTCCTCCTGCCTCAGCCTTTGTGCCCTAGGTCCTAGGAAGAAACCTAACCCTTTTAATCTATAATTCTCTCCAGAAATGTTTTTGGCTCATTTTGTTTTAAAAATATGCTTTGCTCTCTCTCTCCTGCTTATACAACTTGTGCACACACACACACACACAGACACACACACACACACAATCTCTTTTCCCATCACACAGCCACAGTGCTAGAAAACAGACTTGAGCTGAAGGTACTTGGAAGTCTAGGAGAAAAAGTGCTTTAGATTTCCAGGGGTGGGGACTGAGATCTAAGAGCTCTATCTTGGGACTTCAGAGTTTTGTTTGCTCACCTAGAATGGTGGCACCCTGCTCTCTTACCCTCATAGGGACACTCCGGCTCAGGTAGCTGGTCCCAGAATGACATCAGTTACCACAGTCTGCTAGTAACACCTGTGTTTCCTTTTCAGATCTTACAGGTGAACAAGGTGATGTCCATCTTGTTTTATGTGATATTTCTCGCTTATCTCCGTGGCATCCAAGGTAACAACATGGATCAAAGGAGTTTGCCAGAAGATTCGCTAAATTCCCTGATTATTAAGCTGATCCAGGCAGATATTTTGAAAAACAAGCTTTCCAAGCAGATGGTGGACGTTAAGGAGAACTACCAGAGCACGCTGCCCAAAGCAGAGGCCCCCCGAGAGCAGGAGCAGGGCGAGCCTGCCAAGTCAGAGTTCCAGCCGATGATTGCAATGGACACAGAATTGCTACGGCAACAGAGACGCTACAACTCCCCCCGGGTCCTGCTGAGTGATAGCACCCCCTTGGAGCCCCCTCCCTTGTATCTCATGGAGGATTATGTGGGCAACCCCGAGGTGGCGAACAGAACATCGCGGCGGAAGAGGTACGCAGAGCACAAGAGTCACCGAGGGGAGTACTCCGTGTGTGACAGCGAGAGTCTGTGGGTGACAGACAAGTCATCGGCCATCGACATTCGGGGACACCAGGTCACGGTGCTGGGGGAGATCAAAACCGGCAACTCTCCCGTCAAACAATATTTTTATGAGACGAGATGTAAAGAAGCCAGGCCTGTCAAAAACGGTTGCAGGGGGATTGACGATAAACACTGGAACTCTCAGTGCAAAACGTCCCAAACCTATGTCCGAGCACTGACGTCAGAAAACAATAAGCTCGTAGGCTGGCGATGGATACGGATAGACACCTCCTGTGTGTGTGCCTTGTCAAGAAAGATTGGAAGAACATAGATTGGCATCTCTCCCCATATATAAATTATTACTTTAAATTATATGATATGCATGTAGCATATAAATGTTTATATTGTTTTTATATATTATAAGTTGACCTTTATTTATTAAACTTCAGCAACCCTACAGTATATAAGCTTTTTTTTCTCAATAAAATCCGTGTGCTTGCCTTCCCTCAGGCCTCTCCCATCTGTTAAACCTTATTTTGTGACCCAGCTCTCGGGAGCTGCTCTGTAAAATCTGTGTACACCAGTATTTTGCATTCAGTATTGTCAAGGCCATGACTGTCGTTTTAGTAAACTTGTTAAAATCAGATGATGTCAGAGTTGTGTATAGACACAGTCATATCCCGCTCCTGGTATACTTCATGTTTGATTAATTAAAAGAACTGTTTTCACCTCCATTGAAAACGTTACCCAGTAGCTTTGAGCCCCATGCTTAATTTAGATGGCAAGTTCACTGTCAATAACTCGCTCTCCTCTCTCTGCTCACCTAGAATGGTGGTATCCTGCTCTCTCTTACTTGCACAGGAATCCACTTCACCAATCAGAATTGTGATCTGCCCCAGTGGTATGGCCCCAGAACAGTAACAGCAAACCTGGCAATTTTAGTTTTGGAAGTTTCTTTTCAGCACATTTGTTGTTTGGGGTTGTTTAAGGGTTGGATTTTGTTTTGTTTTGGCTTTGGTGTTTGTTTTGCTTTTGTAAGTGGTTTTCATCCTTTGGACACATAAGAAAAAAATTTTAACTGTTTGTAACAATAATTGTATGGTTACGCAGAAGCAAACTGAAATGGATCATGAATAATCTACCCACAGAAGAAAACTGACTCATCAGAGATCCTTTGGCGCCTGGCCTCCTCCTACCTCCCCTGGTAGTGCCTCCTAGAGCTTCATGAGGAATTAGAAAATGCTCTGGCTTTGCATTCAGACCGGGGTTCAAAGTCCAGCTCCTCCCCTGTGACTTGGTGTAAGGTTTGGAGGCCTCCTTGAGCCCATGTTTCTCAGGGACAGAAAGTGAGATGGGGATTCTGCCTACCTCCCAGACTGTCTTGGGGCTTCAGCTAAGTAGCCCCTGTAGACATCTAGCTGAGGGTAGGCATTCAAGAATGCTAGTCCATCCTCTCCTCCCCTCCTCCTCCTCTCTCAGCTCTTGTGTTCCTCTGTATCATTTTTAGTTGATTCATCACTTTGAAATGTATAAGCTCAAATGGAAGGAACCTTCCTAATGCCTGCTGGGTCCCAGAAGGAGTCACAGCAGTGGAGGGGGTCCCTGTGGGAATGGCCACACCTGTTCTGCCATGGCAAGCCTGAAGAGGACACTAGTGCTCCCCAAATCCTTTTCCCAGTGGAAAGTAGTTCACCCTCTTGGGCAGGGGTCCTCAAACTACAGCCCGCAGGCCACATGCAAATACAAATATTGTATTTGTTCCCGTTCTGTATTGTTACTTCAAAATAAGATATGTGCAGTGTGCATAAGAATTTGTTCATAGTTTTTTTTAAACTATAGTCCGGCCCTCCAACGGTCTGAGGGACAGTGAACTGGCCCCCTGCTTAAAAAGTTTGAGGACCCCTGCTCTTGGGTCTGGAGCCTAAGGAATCTCATCTCTCATCTTGAAGATGCAAGGTGCCCCCTATCCCACTATAGAAGCTGCCATCACTGCCCTGCAACCCTGCCCTGTGCCTTCCATGGATTGCCCTGCCTTCAAGGCCCACGTGTGCTCTCTGTGTCTAGAACAGCCACACACCCCAAGATCTCTCTGACACATACCTAATAGAAGATGTGTCCTTTCTGTGCCATTAGCCCTTGAAATAGGCTCAGCAAATAGCAGTGACTTGGTTAAGAGCATCATTCTCCTGCATGTGATTCTAGATGCCTAAATAGGAGGGCAGGAAATGAAGAATTGGCCCTGTTCCCCCATGAGCTAGGCACTTTCAAACATGGACACCATTAGTTGTCACAAGTCCTATCAGGTAGTCATGATGATCTCTAGTTAACAGGTGAGGAAACTGAGGCCTGAAGATTTAAGTTGCCCATGACCACTGCGCAGGTAAGTAGCAAGTGAATAAATACTTGTTTGAAGAATTATCCAGGACCATATCTTGTTTCCGCCTCACTAGTCCTTCCCTTTCCCCCTTCTGCATGGCACACTGCATTTCAGAGTGAACATTGAAATCCTAGAGAAATGAAAAGCAGTTTTCTGCATGGAATCCTTTTTTACCTCTTGCTTCATGAGCCTACAGCAAAAACACAGCAAACTCACTGAAAGGAGAATGAAGTCTTATGCTTGACCCAAGCCCAGTTCTCAAGCTGGAATTTATGTTCCTCTTCTAGAACTTCTATTCCAAATGAATAGTGTGATTGGAGGGTCTGGCTGCCTGGTGAAATGGGCTTGGGTGACAGAGACCCCAGATACCAGCCTGGAAAGACATGGTCCTTACAAAGCAGGTCTCTACCTTGAATGGAAGGAGTTTGCCTGCATGTCCAGAGTGGGTCTGGAGCAGCATGCTTCAAGGACAAGTACCACTCTGAGGAGAAAGTGAACCTGAGGATGAGTGAAAAGTTTCCTGAAGGGAACTCTAGGCTTCAGGCCATGTGACAACTTTGCCTCTCCCATGCTAGGTCACAGTGCAATGAAGAATTATCCAGGACCATTTCAGTAACTTTATTAGCATTCAGAAGGAATTCATATCCTGCCAAAGTCAACATGCTGAGCTTATGGGCCCAGGACAGAGCCTTCTTTAAGGTTCATAGAAGGCTTCTATCCAGTGTGCACATTTGCCACCTTGAAAGGTTGAAAATTATGCTCATCTCTGAGATAGGAGGGCCTTGGAGGGCTGGTGTCCGTCTCCTGGAAAACTCCACTCTCTCTTTGCTCTCCCCTATTGCTTGGATATCACTGGATAAGTCACCAGTCCTATCGGAGCTTTCAGCAGCATCTGAGATTCTACTACAGACTGGACAGACCTCACTTTCTTAATGAATGCTATGCTGAGAAGCTCTGTTGGCCATTGGTGGAGGCTTCTGTCTGCCCTCTTATCCCTCTCTAAGGTTTTTCCATTTATGGGCTATGTGTTCTTAAGCAAGTTACTAAACCTCTCTGAACCTTTGTTTCCTTGTCTATAAAAATGAGGATAGTGCTTATTTCATAACATTGTTTTGCAGTGTAATGAAAACATCCATTTCCTAGCACAAAAGAAGCCCCCTGGAGTGTAACATGATGATGATGATGATGATGATGATGATGATGATGACAATAGCTGGCTTTGGGGAGATTTGCAGGAGCCCTCATTGTGGAATTCTGGTAGGAATTTCTACACTTCACAGTGGAAGTATATCAACCATCCCGTGGGAGGCAGTCTCCAGAGTAGCATTTGCTCAGTGCCACTGGCCCAGTCTTACTGACAGGCCTTGAATCCTTCTCAGTTGACACACCAGGGAAGGACTTCTAACCCTTCTCAGCAAAGCTACTAGCAATCTACCTAATTTTCTGAAACTGAGAGAGTGTGTATTATTCCTTCTTGCAAATGTATAAGACAGCTTTGTTCTTTTTTTTTTTTTTTTATTAAGGTATTACAAATGTGTCCTCATCCCCCCCATTAACCCCCAACCTCCCCCCCACACACACTCATGCTCCCATCCCCCTGTTGTCCATGTCCATTGGTATGGCTTATATACATGTATACAAGTCCTTCGGTTGATCCCTTCCCCTTACCCCCGCCCTCCCCTACTTTCCTTCTGGGGATTGATAGCCTGATTGCTGTTTCTCAGTCTTTGAGTCAAGACAGCTTTGTTCTTGTTTTTATTCTCTCCCTCACTCAGTCCTTCTCACTGTGTCCAACAGTGCTTTCTCCAGGCTAGTGTTTTAGGGTTTGGTGTTTCTGAGAATTTCTTTGTTGGGTCCCTTTCCTGCCTGTGTGTTTATGTGTGCTTTTTAGTTTGATTACTTGATGTAAAAACCCTCCATTGAGGCTTGGAGAAACCATCTGCATTTATTTTATCACCTTTGAACATGTGTTTGAGAATGAAATATGTGTAGTCAGTTTATGGCTACCTGGAGATTTGTCTGGCTTCACCAGGAAGATGCACCCCCACCCCCAGGCCTCAAGCTCTGACAGCCCTGGGTGTGCAAAGCCAACACCAGGCCTTCGGCAAGGCCCAGCTTTGACTCACAGAGTTCCAGCGCTACTCTGAAGCCTGGAAAGCAGACAAATGTCTACCACCCACTCACCCCCAACAACCCTGGCCAGAGGGCCTTGTATATGCTTGGTTTCACACACCCAGGAGTTGCCACAGCCACTGAAGACTGACTCTCTCCCTGGAACCTTCTTCAGTCTGACCCTCTTCCTCAGGTCCCCACCCCCAAGTCTTAGGAGACCCAAAGTCCTTACATCACCTTCTCAACTTACAGTGGGCAAGTGGACTTCGGCACACGTGTTTCACTGTGAGCTGAACACGAGTGCCTCTGCGGTGGCTGGAAGCCCTGGGTGGGTGGTTGGCTCCAGATGGAGGTTGGCCCAGCTTGGAAGAAAAGAACCACAGAACAGGTTGAAGCACTCTGAATGACCATGGATTTGCTTCCTTCAGTCCTCAGCCTGTGTTTGGTTACAGTGTATCGAAGTCCAATGAAATGAGTGCAGATGTGCCTGTGGTGGGAAACAGTGGTAGAGAGGAGTAAGGAGGTACAGAAGGCAATGGCCCAAAGCTATCAAAAGTCTTTTCTAAAAGCTGGTTACCACTGATGAGTTTGGCTGAGTTGAATAGTCGCAGAGTTCAGTAATGGCATTGCCTGTTCAATTACAGAAGTTTCTGTGGCAAGAAAACATAAAAGTTCACTGGGAAATTGTGAAACACAGCCTAATGAATTAGATGGCTTTTCACATGAAGATGTATGGAGGTGAGTGGGCATGCATGTGTTTGCATGTGTGCATGTTTGTGTATGTCCATGCATGTGTGTCCATGCACACACGTGTGTGTGTGTGTGTGTATGTGTATAGTTGCTTTGATATTCTAACCATTAATGTATTGCATTTTTTAAAGGAAAGGTAATGCTTGAAAAGAATGCTCTGGAGATTGAGCTGGGAGCCAGCTGGGGAGCATATGGAAAATGAACATTCTTGGGGCTAGAA